GGGGTCAAGCCATATCCAGGTATGAATGATTCCAGAGACAAAGTGAGCTCTTAGCCACTCATTACAAATCATTTCTTATAGGTTATATTATTTCTCTTCTGTGTTTCTGCAACATGTAAAAGAATAGCTTTCAAATACCAGAAACTCAGCAAATAATTTATTGAACTAAACTATACTACAGTTAGAAAGATCGGCTGCTTTACAATTCATTAAAACAGTGTATTCAAATACTTCTAAAAGAATGTCAAATATTGCTTAAAACTTATACTAATTTATCCCACTAAATTATGAATTTATAATTAAACTAATAGTGAATATTAGGGAAAATATGTATTTTCAATTCTTAGTGTGTATATATCATGTTTTATCTACTGAAGTACACACATACATGTATGTGTATGTATATGTATATATATGTGTATGTATATATGTATATATACATATATACACACATTTGTGTGTATATATATATATATATCAACTCATCTCTAATTTTTGGGAGTGGGGCAGATGATCTTGTATGCATGTGAATTTTTCTACAGCAGACTCTGAATTCTAGATACGTTTCTTTGTCTCAATATTTCTGGGCTTCCTTTTTCTTTTTTCTACTCCTCACAATGACATAACACCATAGAACTCTTACGGAAGGCAAATGTTTCACGGTTCATCTGAGCTAATTCCCATGTTACTGTATTAAAATTGAAATTGTTCATGATAAAGTACATTATGAATTGGTTGGACGATCATTCATCATTGGGGGTTATTACCCTTTGCTATTGACATAGGTAACCAAGATCTGAGGGTATTTATAGAGACCTCTATCCAGGTGCCCCATTCATTTAACAAACAATGAGCCCCTCCTGAGTGCCAGATGCTGTTTCAGGTGTTGGAGATACCAGTGAACAAAACAGACACAAATCCTTGCCTCGTGGGACTGACATTATCGGGGTGGGGAAACAGACTACAAACAAAATGTATGAGTAAAATATTTATTATGTTAGATGGTGACAAGTGCTACGGAGACAAACCTATCAGGAAAGGGGCAGGGGTGGGGGGTGGACATGTGCTCATAAATAGGCCACTTGGGGAAGGCCTTGTTGAGAAGGGGAGATTGGGTAAAGACCTGAAAGGCCCTGGTACCTGGTGGGGAAGGCATTTCAGCAGAGGCAACATAAGTGCAAAGACCTGGCAGGGAACGTGCCTGGTGCAGAAAGAGGCTGTGACTTGAGTATTTTGAGCGAGGGGAGAGCAGTCTTGCCCGTGAGAACAAAGATTCTCTCCTTTGACCAAACTTGGGTCAGATTCCTGAGTTTTCTTTCTGACTCATCCCTGACCTTGGGTTCTGTCCTTGGCCTGTT